AGGAAGGAAGGAAGGAAGGAAGGAAGGAAGGAAGGAAGGAAGGAAGGGGAGGGGGAGGGAGGGAAGGAGGAAAGCAGAGGGAGGGAGATGGAAGGGAGGGAGGAGGAAGGAAGGGGGACGGAGGGAAGGAGGAAAGCAGAGAAAGGAAGGAAGGAATGGGGAGGAGAAGGGAGGGAAGGAGGAAGCAGAGGGAGGGAGGAAGGAAGGAAAGAAGAGAGAAAGCAGAGAAGGAGGAAAGCAGAGGAAGGAAGGAAGGGAGGGAGGGAGGTGGAAAAAAGGAAGAAAGGAAGGAAGAAGGAGGGAGGAAGGGAAGGAGGAAAGTAGAGGGAGGGAGGGAGGGAGGAAGGAAGGAAGTCTTTTTAATGGGACCACCGATTTTAGACTGCTGTTATATCAACATATCTCTTTTTCCCCCTTCTGTGTCTATAATAATCTCCTTTCGATCCTGGATCCCACTTATGTTTCCTGAATTAAATGACTAAATGAGAGGAATGAGATGTAAAGTTAGAAGTTAAATTATTATTATTTTTTTGGGGGGGGACTTTTTTCCCAACCTCATTCAGTATGCTACACATTTCAAAATGATTTATCAAATTAAATGCAACCAAGTGCCACATACTAGTAGATGCCTTTGTAACTTGTTAGCTAACATAGTTACTTCGTGTTTTACTTTGTATTTTTAACAGGGTTACTCTGTATTTTAATTTGACTTACTTTTCTCTCTTTTAAAATGGTGATAAGGTTTTATGAAAACCATTAAGACTGGAATTGGGGTGGGGGGGACTTTTTATGGATTGATTTGATCGCTTCTAATATTTTTCTAAACGGAAAAGATAAGCTACAGAAGGATGTGTGGATACTATCTGCTGGTAAGGAAAATCTGTTAATGACAACGCATCTGGTTTGCTTCTTCATGAATTTCAAACAAACTTTGCACTTGATTTACTGGGCAAGGAGGGGTTCCTCTTATCTTGTCCAACCAACTTTCCTCTTTCATTTTTCTTTCTTTCTTAGAAAGAAACTAAAAAGGGGGATGTAAGCTAAGGATCGGGGTTCCCTCTTTGAATGAGAGGAATGCCTTTTGTCTGAATATTTTGATAAATTGAAATTAAATGATTTTTCTGTCTCCTTGGAAAACACATAGGATGAGTCACGAGCCTAAAAGAGCCATATTTGGCCTTGGCCTGTCTCATACAGCAAGTTATAAGGACATAATTTAAACCACAACCGACAATTTGTATGCACAACAGCGTGTCATTTGTCCATTATATGGCAGCTAATTGTTGGTCTCAAACTTAGTTTTTATTACAGCCGCGCAGCCAGAAAATGTTGATTTCCCCCAAAGATATTTTGTGTGTGTTGTATTCACACGTATTCACATCTCAGATGAAGACTTGGAGAAAAAAAGAAGAAGTATAATTCGGGCACATGGAAACTTCTATTCATCTTCTTTTAACAAACCCATAATCCCTTGCAGGGTGCAGTCTGGGCAACTGAATGGAGCAAGTATGTTAATGGCCAAATGCCCTTCCTGTCATCGATGCGGAGTTTTGTTCAGTGTGCCCAGAGAGAGAGAGAGAGAAAAATATCTGCCTCTACCGAGAATCGATCTCACAGCCTCCCGATTGTGAAGCGAGAGCACCGCCTCTAGGCCACCACACCATTCTTTGCATGGAAGCTTCTATTAGTCCTGCAAATTTCAACAAGTATCCTAACGCCTTGCTACAATTCTGTTTCTTTGAAATCAGCACGGTCTGAAGCTCCTTTTGGGATTTAATATGTGTAATAATACTGGCCATTAAAGGGCAAAGCCTTCAGTTACAAATGGAACTATAGATGCCAACTATATTAAGATAAACCGTAATCGTAAACCAACCAAAAAAGACTATATTTATATTGCAGAACCAAAAGTGTGTGGGGGGGGGGGAAGCATAATGTTCAGACTGTGGTATATTTTATCATAATAATATTATTATCACCCAACCATGAAGGTCATCGCCAGGCACAAAAGAAAATACGACTTAATTTCACCATCCTGCATATCTCTACAGATGGGATAATACCAGGGAACAGTTTCAGATGAAATTCAGATTGCCAGGACTCAATGTTATGTTAGGGCACTTAGTGAGGTATGACAATTCCCAAATAAGCCATAGTGTCATGCCCCTGTTTGAATCTGATTCCAAGGGGGAGGGGGAGCAGCTGACAGGGAGTGGGAGTGTGGCTCCGGGGGCTGTGGAAGAAACTGGGGAAGGGCACAGTCCGGCTGGGCATTCAGAGGAAGACCCAGGGTCACCACCTCTTCATCCTAGGGCACACAGGGAGGAACGGAGAAGGGAGCAACGTGGGTTATGTGGGAGAAAAAGGCCCTGATTCCCTTCATTAGCTGCAACTGGGAAAACAGGATTTTAAAAGGGTATTTGCGCACAGCACCTTGCTGGAAGCAAAGCATGAATTATCTTTGTTTATCAAGTCTTATCTGGGTTCTGGCATCCTCCCAACTGTGTGTGTTTTGTTATCTTTTGGAAGTCTGCAATTCCTTATCCTGCCCTGTCTCGTTAATTGCTGCAGACGTGGTTTGTGTTGGTTTTTATAATTTTATAATTTAGATGTACTCTGGGTTCAACTGAATTTCTTCCCTTTAAAAACTGTTCTTGGGAGAGATTTTTTCTCCAGCCGATGATAACTGGACATTGGAGGTCAAGTTGGAGGAATTAAAGGGACTTTACCTACTTTTATGACTTTGTTGCTTTTGTGCCACACCCCGGGTCATCACACATAATATATTAATTAGTTTCAGTAATTACACATATAAACACATTGCCATTTTCATGGTGATTCCTCCACTTTACCCTTGTCTACACAGGTAATCCTCGAGTTACAACCATAATCGAGCCCAGAATTTATGTTGCTAAGTGAGACATTTCTTCAGTGAGCTTTGCCACCATTTTACGACTTTCCTTGCCACTGTTGTTCAGTGAATCATTGCATTTGTGAAGTTAGCAACAGGACTGTTAAGTAAATCTGGATTCCACATTGATATTTTGCTTGTCAGAAGGTTACCCTGGAACAGTACAACCACCATAAATATGAACCAGGTGCCAAGCGTCCCAATTTTGCTCATAATGACTGTGGGGATGCTGCAAAGGGTCGTAAGCATGAACAATGGTCATAAGTCACTTTTTTTCAGTGCCGTTGTAACTTTGAGTGGTCACTAATGAACTGTTGTAAGTAAAGGACTACGTGTATTGTTTTGTTTTGTTTTAAAGGACAGAACTGCAGGACCATAATTCTGTTTCTCTTCTTCTATTTGAGAAAACGAGTAGGAGAATTTAAAAAAAAAAAAAAAAAAATTCCAAAACAACTTTCCCAATGCCTTTGAAATCAAAGCTGGAACACTGTTGGTGTTTTAATGGATCTCGACTTATACGCAGATGATAAACATAAAGCTTTGAGCTTAAATTAAATGCATCGAGCCACACAAAATCGCACAACTGCATTAGCAAAAAGGTGGGGGGAAAGTATTCAAATACTTACTTTGACGAATCTATGAAGTATATTACAAGAGCACCAATACTAAGAGCAAAGACTAAAACAACCTGTAAAAGAAAAAAAAAGAAGAAGAAAAAACAACAGTCATTTTCCATTGCGGTGTCAAAGCATTTATCATTCAAACAAAAGAATAGGAAAGGACATGAAATTTGATGGTGCCATTTTAATGGTCTTCTGCTTCACAAAAGTCAACATTTGCACACAAGGCTTGACAAAGTTTAAAAGATATGCAACCTGACATACCCCCTAAGCACTGCGGTACATGAGGCAGAAGAATCCATGTTATGTCCAGTGGTGCTAGTATAATAATAATAAACCTGATAATTGACCATTTGCTGCCCTGTAATATTATGGCAAATCCACCAGTTAAGGTACCTTGCCTCCCCTTGTAGGATCAATATTAATTATCTTAATTAGAGACAGACATTTAAAGGAGGATATTTGGAGCTTAAGGTTAGATTGTGAGGTCCTTGGTGCTCTCTGAACTTGGTTTTTTTTCCCCTTGCAGATATGAAATGTTTGCAAGAAAACAAACAGGCTCAGAGAGCACCAAAGACCTTATTAGAATCAAAGGTGCTTTTTTAAGAGGCAACTGGACTTTCTTTTTCTTTGAAGACCTTTTGCTTCTCATCCAAGGAGCTTCTTCAGCCCTGTGCTTTTTCTTTTTCTTTTCTTTCTTTCTTTTTGCTTCTTGTCTGAGCTGGAGAAGCTTCTTGGATGAGAAGCAAAAGGTCTTCAAAGAAAAACAAGGAAGTCCAGTTGCCTCTTGAAAAAAGCATCCAACCAGGATTTAGATGACTGATAATCTCTATAGACCCCCATTAGACATTTCTCATGGGAACATTCACAGGTTTCAAGAGAGGCACTTCTTCAGGTAAAAGTAAAGGTTTCCCTTGACCAATCATGTCCGACTCTAGGGGGCAATGTTCATCTCTGTTTCTTAGCCAAAGGAGCCAGCATTATCCAAAGTCTCTTCCATGGTCATGTGGCCTTCATGACTATATGCCGAGGCACACGGAACTCTTGTTACCTTCCCACCAAAATGGTACCTATTTATCTACTCGCATTTGCCTGCTTTCAAACTGCTAGGTGGGCGGGAGCTAGAGCAATGAACAGGCTGCTCACCCCATCGCGCAACGCTTGGGTCTCCAACCCAGGGTGTCAGCTTTCCAGCCAACAATCTCTTTACCTTTAACTGTTGACCCATCGCTATTTCTACATGACCCTCTTGTTGGGAAATTACCAATTGTGATATGGAAGGGCCACACTCTCTGTAATAGACTCCTATCTATACATTTTCCACAAATATCTCCCATTCTCATCTTTCAAAACTAGGTATATTGTAAATATTTTTATTAAATTGTCTCCTGGACAGAACATGGGAGAATTGGGTGGGTAAGAGGTAAGAGGTACGGTCTCGTGGAGTCAATATCTAAAAGGAAAGACTTATATCTCCGGATAATCTTCTCAGTGATTCTTTATGAATTGCCAGAATTTTTTTTAAGCTACATAATTTATTCTAGTATCATAGCAGCCTTGTTCATGCAGAACAATTTAACCTGAAAATAAAATGGGCAGAAATAAACTATTTTCATGTTTTAAGAATTTGACTTCCTAGAGAGAAAAGTTGACAGTTGCAAGTTGATAGCTGTTTTGAGATATTATTTTTTTGCATTTATAACACCAAGAGCAATTTTTATAATGATGCATTTATTCTAAATACAGCATATTAGTTCCATTCTTATTACAAATTCTAGGTAAAGCCATGGAGGTTGATGTTTTCTTTAAATATATGTGCCTTTGTGATAATATAAGCATAGGAGAAAATACTTCAAAAGCATTACACAGAGCTTTATAATAATTAATACTTTATATACAGAGACCCTATTCTTGTACAAGTGAGTTAATAGAAGCATAGGTTGTTAATCTCACTGAATGCAAGATACTTGTAAGGAGTAGAATAATGTTTTGCCTAAGCCTTGGTTTAAACATATCAAAGCTTGCATAGGGAGAACTGAGAATGGTGTGAAACAATATAGTAATGAAAAACCAATAACTGATAATTAAGACCTTGAAAAAGTCCAGAAATATTTCACAAGAAGAGTTCTCTGCTCCTCTACTCATTGCAGAATACCTTGTGCCACCAGACTTGAAACTCTAGACCTAGAAAACTTAGAACTACGCCGCCTCCGGTCCGATCTAAATATAGTATATAAAATCATACATTGCAATGTCCTACCTGCAAATGAATACTTCAGCTTCAATCATAACAATACAAGAGCACACAATAGATACAAACTCAAGGTTAACTGCACCAAACTTGACTGCAGAAAATACAACTTCAGCAACAGAGTGGTCAATGTTTGGAATACTTTACCTGACTCTGTGGTTTCTTCCCCAAACCCCAAAAACTTTAACCTTAGACTGTCTACTATTGACCTCACCCCTTCCTAAGAGGCCTGTAGGGAGCATGCATAAGCGCACCAATCATGCCTACCATCCCTGTCCTATTGTTTTTTTATTTTTCTTATAAGTATCTATCTCAAGTATTCAAAACTATATTTATTCTTATACCTGTATCTTGTCAGCAATTGACAAATAAAAAAAAATGTAAAAAAAATGTAAAAATGATTTCAAATGATGGAAAGAAAATTCAGCATGCTAGATCAAAATGGGAATCGCTTTCTAAAAACATAGATAGACAGATTATTAAAAGAATCATAAAATGTATTTATAAGAGTCATAGTGGCGCAGTGGTAAGAGTGCAGTACTGCAAGCCACTTCTGCTGACTGCCAGCTGCCTGCAATTTGGCAGATTGAATCCCACCAGGCTCAAGGTTGACTCTGCCTTCTATCCTTCCGAGGTTGATAAAACGAGTACCCAGATTGTTGGGGGCAAGAGGCTGACTCTGTAAACAGCTTAGAAGGGGCTGTAAAGCACTGTGAAGCGGTATATAAGTCTAAGTTCTATTGCTATTATAAGCCAATAGCCATAATGGGCAGCAAAACCTACTTTAGGGAAAGGGCTCAAAGCCTCGGGAATTAAACAAGGTTTTATTTCCAATCTCCTTTTTCACAGAAGAAGTATATCAGAATTGAAAAAAAAATATCAAGGAGTGCCTGAACTGGACCAAACAGGCAATGCTAGATGCCACGGAATGATTTTAAGGCAACTCCTTATCACCCATTAAACTCAGGGATGTCAGGATGAAATTTGACAGCTAAACATGCCTCTTCCACTCATTTCCTGCTAACTTCCTGTGACTAAGGAGAACAAAGAGTCCAAATGGATCAAAATCAATATTATACAAACACGTTTACTCTCCAGCTATTCCTTTTCGAGGTAAGCAATATTAGGTAGAGGTCAGAATAGAATGGCAAACCAATCAAAGGCATGAGGGCATGAGTTAAGAAAAATAATGGGGGGGAGGGGGAATGTGAATTTACCCCAAACCGTTCATTACTTTTCTCCAAACTTTTCTATGCTTGCTTCCATCCAGTGCTTGCACACTGATTTTTGGCATCAAAACTTTTGGCTTCTTTCTTTCTACAATTTCAGCCACTCCATCCAATCATGACTTTCTCTTGACCCATTCATTCTTCCTTCACGTTTGTAAAAAGGATGTATGTAAAATGGAATGCCTCAAGCACAACACAGCTCATTCCAGCATAACCAATGCAACAGTGGTGGGATTCAATTTTTTTTTTTACTACCGGTTCTGTGGGTGTGGCTTGGTGGGCGTGGCAGGGAAAGGATACTGTAAAGTCTCCAGTCAGAGATGGGATTTGCCAGTTCTCTAAACTACTCAAAATTTCCGCTACCGGTTCTCCAGAACTGGTCAGAACTGCTGAATGTCACTTCTGCAATGCAAGCTAAACACGAGGATAACACTGCCATACATTGAAAACATCTCAGAAACAACAACAGACTATGACAACCAAACTGGATCACCAGAGCATACAAACCAAGTAAAGCCCAGTAAAACATTTTCAGTAAACCGAAAGACTCAGGAGACCCAAAAAAACATACATTTATTAGGATTTATTAGGAATTATCCACAACATACATTGTAAGGACTGGTTAACAGAGTTGGAGGGGGTCTCGGACATTTCAACGTTGATGAAGTCATGAAAAGAGATACGACACAGCAAAGACTGCGAGAATTGGATCTACAAGTTGTCCTTGACTTAAAACCAGGGTTGGGCCACTGGGGGTTTGCAGGGGTTCAGGAGAACCCCCTAGCTAATATTCTGTGCAGTTTGGAGAACCCCCCAAATCCCGCTCCTGACTGACCCCGCCCCGCCCATGCCGCCCCACCCAGGAGACCCCACGTGGCCTGTTTTGGATGCAGGTATATACAGGGTGCACACGGAGGCTCAGAGAGGGTGGAAAACGGGCCTCCCGGAAGTTCAGGAGGGCTGGAAATGGGCTGTTTCCAGCTTTCAGAGAGACTCCGGAGCCTAGGGAGGCCGTTTCCGCCCTCCCGGAGGCTCAAGGAAAGACTCCGGAGCCCAGGAAGGGCAAAAATGCCCCCCCTGCCATGGTGCAGGAGGCTGACTAGGCCACGCCCACCCAGCAACCGAGCAGAGGTCCCTTTGCTAAAAATTTTGAAGCCCACCCCTGCTTCCAACAGTTCATTTAGGGACCGTTTTAAGTTACAAAGGCATTTTAAAAAATATATATAGGGCCATTTTTCACAGTTATGACCTTCCTTCATGCTCCTGGGATCAAAATTTCAGATGATTGGCAACTGGTTCATATTTACGATGGTCACAATGTCCCATTGACAAGCCAAGTCCACGGGGAAGCCAGATTCACCTAACAACCAGGTGGCTAACTTATCAACTGCAGTGATCCACTTAACAACTGAGGCGAGAAAGGTCGTAGCATGGGGCAAACAGTCACTTGACAAATGTCTCACTTAGCAGTAGAAATTTTGGGCTCAGTTGTCGTCATTAAGCCGAGGATGATCTGTACAATAATAGGCAGATCTTTTTGACAGATGCCGTGTCCAACTTTACAAACAACGGTTTTAATAGATGGAGG